TTTGGAAGAGATCCAAGGGATTGACCGTAAACAACCTGAAACGAGTTACGTAATCTAAGAATGAATCGTATGCTCGACAAAATAGTGATTTTTATGTCTATATTATGCAAATATATGATCTCCTTTTATGGAGTAAGTAATAGGGTATTTATAGAGTGTTACATGTCCGGATTCGGATACCGGATTCCTCTCTTCGAAGCCGGTTTGGGTTTGGATTGTCGGGTTTTGATTAGTACGACGCATTCGAGTGTTTTTACTCTACTTTATCTGACTTCCAAAGCCATTTGCCAGACAATGCAGTTCCGTTATGCTTCTCGCAGCATCTTACACGCCGATTTAAGCGTCGGAGTGCTTTCTTGGAATCAACTTTGAAAGGCTTTAGTCGTTGTGCACAGTATGGACCACATGTTTTTACCCTAACACGCATAAAATAAAGTGTTTTTACCCATTGACTTAGATTTCAAATATTACGAGGGAAAAACTTATTTTGGGCGCGATAACAAGTTTTTCTTACCTTGCTCGAGACCTTGATAAGGGAGTCCATGCTTCATACCTTTGTCCAGGCTGGAGTTTCCCGTTCATGGCCTTTTGACAATCTATCATGAGTTTTTTTCCTCCGAATAGCGAGGTTCGTTATCGGGAGTTGTTGGACCCACGTTTCTTCACCTATGGGCTCAGGCTATTGTTGAGTCAGGTCCAAATCTATTGAGTAATAAGCTCCACCTGAGACGCCAACCCCACCATGCCACGTAGCTCAAAGGGGATTATATTATCCCCAACCCCTCCGTTGTTCAAGCCTTGTCCAAGGACTCGGGCAACAGATAGTTCATGAGTCCTGATCAATTAAATATATTTTCTCTGAGAAAGGTCCTTGTACTAAGTACCATGGGTTTATATCTGCTAACGGGGTCTCCCTGACCGAGCGCTAAGTATATTTGCCCATTTCGTCGTGCCGTTATTTAGCCCAAGGGGACTTCTTGGATGACGAGTTAGAAACATTCTGATATATTATGAGTTTTCTCCTCGGAAGTCCGTCTAAGAGTTGAATAACTCGATCATTTACGGGTTGATAGTCCGGATGATGGGTTAGAGTATTCTCAAGTTACCTTTGGGTTTGTTCTGTTACTTGGCGGTTTCACCTTATTTGCATGTCTTGGGTCTTCACTTTGCCACATGATACTTATGTTTCAGTTCTGTTGTCTTCCTGATTGCTGTTCATCCAGTTGAGTTATGTTATGTTCCTTTTTCCTACATATCAATCCAGTTCGAAGACTATTTTTCTTTAGATTTTTTTTAGTGGCGTGGTTCTCGCGTAGTTCTATTTCCGCCGTTTTTGGTATGCCTTGGTCTTAGATTTTGGAGGTACATTTGATTCGCAGAATTCTAGTTTGGTTTTGGCATTGTGGTTGTGGTGATTATAATTTTATTTCGGTGTGATAGACAAAGAGCTTTGTATCGTTCTTTCTTTTGCCTTGCGGCTTTTATAAGATTTGGTCCCACCAACTATGTTATTTTCTAGTATGCCGATCAACGACGGACTGTAAAAAACAAAATAAACAATCCGAGAAAGACGGGAGACAGATAGAATTTCAAATCGTTTTTATTTCTTCCGCGAATCTTTAGATATCTCTCCACATCATCGACTTAAATCCATTTAATCATTACTCAGATTTCCTTTTCCCAAAATTCAATTTCCTCGAATTTTCGAATATCTCAATCCCAATTTTGAGCCTTTTTCTTGTTATGAACAGAACAAATTCCCGGAAAGCTGATTCTCTCTCGCACTTATCCGAGACAAACCCAGAAAATTTTCTCCAGTTTTCACGGGGGAAAAAAGTACAGTATTCCCAAGAGATTTCATTTCCCAGTTGATGGGTTTATCAAATGATAGGATCAGATTCAACGTTGGTGGCAGACTCTTCGAAACGACGGCGACAACACTCGCAAACGCAGGTCGCGATTCCTTCTTCGGTACATTATTCGACGAAAGTTGGAACCTTTCACAACCACCGCCAGTTCCCGGTCAAGCAAAAGACGATCTTATCTTCATCGATCGGAACCCAGATTGCTTCGCCGTTCTTCTCGATCTCCTCCGAACAGGAGACCTCAACATTCCGGCAAATATCCCAGATCGTCTCCTTCACAAAGAAGCAATGTTCTACGGCTTAATCGACCACATACGAACCGCAAAATGGGGGCCATTCGACGGAAACCGACTCCATCTCTCTCGTTCCGTCACCGGAATAGCTCCGGGAGACGGAACGGCAATAAGAGCTGGTCCAGACGGTGGTTGCTGCGTCGCTCACGGAAGTGTAGTCCATGTGTTTGATTGGATGCTTGAAGAGCATCCTACGATTAATCTCGATTACCAGAGAGTGAACGATATCGGTTGGATCGATTCGAGTAACATTTTATTATCTGCTTGTGAGAGATTAGGAAGAGGAGATGGAGGTATGGGATTGTTTAGTTCTTCTTCTGCAGAGCTTAGGTATAAGTTTCAGGTGAGTCATGATAATCAGGTAAAGAGTTATAGTGCAGGAGCTTTGAGTTTTAGTCCTGATGCTAAGATCTTTACTAGTTGTAAAGGAAGAAGTAATGAGTATGGAATTGGAGTTTGGGATCAAATCACTGGAAAGCAAACGGATTTTTTCTACGAGAGTCCGGGTTGGTCTTTAGGAGATGCTGATAAGTTGCAATGGTTGAATGGTAAGAACTGTCTTCTTGTAGCAACTTTGTTTCCAAGGAAAGATAATTGTTACATTAGCTTGTTGGATTTTCGGGATAAGAGTATGGTTTGGTCTTGGTCGGATATCGGGTCTCCTGCGACAGTGGATGAGAAGAGAGTGAGAGACGCGATCGCGATGGAAGAGAGCAATTCGATATGTGTGGTGAATGAGTTTGAGGATTTAGGGTTTATTGATCTGAGGATGCATGGAGGAGGGAGTAGTGTGAGGTGGAGTTCACGGAGTAGGTTGATGAAGAGTAAGATGCCTGATGAGCCGTGTTACCCTAAACTCGCTTTGCATGAAGGCCAGCTCTTTTCGTCAATGAATGACTCGATCTCTGTGTTCTGTGGATCAGACTGGGTTTTGACTTCAAGGTTAAAAAGAAGCTATGGTGGGTCAATCTGTGATTTCTCTATTGGTGGGGATCGGTTGTTTGCGTTGCACAGTGAGGAGAATGTGTTTGATGTTTGGGAGACTCTGCCTCCTCCGATCATCGGATGAGTCCAATTTTGTAGCCTTGCTTTAGTCTGGTCAATTCCTGTTACTTCTGATTGCTTCTTTTGTTTATGTTTTATTTAGGGTTGTTAGAAAACTACAGGAAAAGAGAATAGCAAAAATAGCATTAGTCATGAGATATAAACACAGAAAAGAACATGATCATAGTTTTGATATTGATA